GTATAAAATATAAGAATTATATTTAATTTAGGTATGCGAAGTACAACAAAAACTGTATTATAGACACGAATAGTTAATATATTACTATAATTTTAAGTAGAAAAGTAATTAATAAGCTAATTAGATAAAGCAATAAGTAGAAAAAGAAGTAGTGGTTAGAAAAAGTTAGAAAAATAAGTAAAAAAGAAAGATAAAGAATACGGAAAAAAAAAAAAAAAGAAAAAAATTTAAAATTCCTGAAAACTTACGCTCAAACAAAAACACGTCTTATCGGCTCAAAGGCTTAAACGAAATGAAACATGAAGTTATTGTTTCAAAAGGTGTCTCTTCCGAAACGAAAAAAGCACGTATTATTTTAAAATTATTTTTTTTTAAAAAATACGAGCTTGTTAACGTAATCTTATATAAATAATAAAAACTTTTCTGGTGCGATTTTTAGTTTTATAATTGCTGTTTTGATTTATTTTTCAAAATTTTTTTTTTTTTTTTCAAAAATTTTATTGTATTGAATATTTCTGTAAAAATAAAATTCAAAAATAGTAACTTTTGTGATATTTTAAAATTTTAAAATATGGCGATAACTCTTATGAAAGTAATATTTTTAAATATTTCGGTAAATATTTTTATCGGTAAATATTTTTAAAGAATTGCTAAAATCATGCCCATACATTTTTTTGAGGAACATTTTTCAGCCTTTCAAGTAATTTTATTCGTATGTGTTTGAAATGTTTTGTTTTTTTATTTTTCTTATTTTGACAATTAAAATTTTTTGAGCAAAACAAAGTTTTTTATATAGAGTAAGTAAACGGTAAAAACGATAGTAAAGTATAGTAACGTTTATAATTAAGAAAGCTAATAAGTCATACCGCAATTAAAATCAATCAATTCATTTTCACAAACAAAAAACAATAGTTAAAACCATTGTTTTGTTTGTGAAAATTTTCGTAAAATTGATTCTACGTTTCAACTTCAATATTATTATTTTTTTTTTTGTAAATCACATAACAATTAATACTGAATGAATAGCTATTAACTTACTATTAACTATTAGTTTATCTAGAATAATTATTGCTGGCTTTTTCTTTTCTTTAATAACTATTTATATGCAAATATAATAGGAATTATTGAGCTTTATTTTTGTCACAAGTTAGAAAAACTAACATATTAGTTTATTATAATCCAGAAACTAACACTCTCTTCTCTTGTACGCTTTTGAATAGCCCACTCAGATATAGGGGAAAGCGGGGCAACATGGCAAACGTTTTGAAAGCCCCGAGTTATTGAAAAACCATAAGTTGTGAAGCCATAATACTTTCTCAGTATGTTTATGCTATTAAGTTCTTTCATTGCCAGCATGAATTTTCAGTTTGCAAATATAACAATTTGAAATAAATATTAAAGTAAAAAGGTCATAAATTTGTCATCTGGTCTCGTGACTGGGGCAAGATGACTTATTATGCAATTTTTACCTCCAATTTTATAAAATTTTAAAAACTGCTAATAACTCTAATTAAAGTAACAAAAAATAAACACAAATTGCAAAAACTACTTTTAAAGAAGTTAAACTTGAGGGACACCAACCATTATGAGAAACCGAAAGTGAGGAATTTTTTTTTAAGCGCAAAAAGTAAACTTATTTGTATAAAATGGCGTTAATAATATTTCAAAAAACCAATTGGTGTTTTAAAATACAAGATGCAAATACAGTTTCGTTTTCACCCAATTTTAAAATTTTTTGTTGAGTTGTTATATGAAAACCCATCTTGCCCCATTCGCCAAAAAAATTAGGTCCTTAAGTAAATAAGTAGGCGGGGGGGGGGTAGATGCATTTGCCCCTTGCTTCCCCCTCCCTCCCGGTGTTATCGGTCCTGATTTATGAATGCTTCCTTACCTTACATTCTTTAAATCTAACTTTGGTTTAAAAAATATATTATTAAAAAGAACCATTTACATTTACGAATATCTTTCTCATAACTATGATTAACCACAACAAAATTTAACTTAATTCTGGAATCAGGGGCATTTCAACAAATAACTCTAACTTCAGGTCAGGTTAGGTTATCCTGCTGCTGGAAAAATGTAGCCTAGTACAACCTTTTTTATGTCTTGTTGTCTATTATGATAAGCTTTTTTAGGCATAAACTAGAAGATGTCAACTCTGACTTAACACACTCCCTGCCTTGGGGCTCTAGTTTGAGTAAAGGCTAGAGATGATGTCTTGATAAAAACACTCACCCTGGGACAATGTTAAAAGCATCCGGCTACTGTCTAGTAGAAGGTCTTTTAGGCAAAGATGCATTTATAACACCTTGTTTCCAGTTTAGGATATTGAATCCTAGGCCTTCTTGACTCATTGCATGGTTTTTGCTCGTGACTCTTTTTTTATCAAGGCAACTCATTCTATTATTTCCTAATGAGGGTACAGCTTTTAAACTTAGTTTTATGGTTCTGAGGCCAGTTTGTTTTAGTCAAGTTTTCAAAACTCTTTGGTAGCTCTAAGAGCGGTTGATTCCATCAGCACCTGTAAAATATCTGAGTATTAGCAGTGCCATGTTGCTCATGGCTGGAGTTCCTGTTAGTACTTTTAATGTGCATTGTCCAGGCCACATTTGGAGCCCTTTATTACGGCTTGGGTTTATTAACAGTAGTAAGACAATTGCTTGGACTATTAGATAGTGTACTGAGCACTATTTGTGGTTTTAGTTAAGTTCTTCAACCAATTTAAAAAATTACTAAAGTATCAAAAATTATAAAATACAAAAGAATATTGTAATCATCAAGTTTTCTAAATCTATCATTCACTAATATTCCTGGCCTTTGAAGTAATTTTTTTTCTGTTGATTCTTATCTCTTGCAAAGTTTACCAGACCTACTAGCTTTTTGTGAGACTAATTTAAGTTCGGGTGTCTTATCCCATGATCTTAGTGTTGATGGTTATCTTCCTTTAATTCGTAAAGACTCCAATAGTCACATGCTCCAATAGTCACATGCACATCCTAGTTTTTTGATAAATGAGTGAATTCTTCTTAAGAATTCACTCATTTATCGGAAAACTAGGTTTGAATCCACAGACTATTCTTTTATGTGCTTTCGTTTAGCTCCACTTCAACGTTTCTCTTTGTTCTATATTGTTCTCCTTCATCTCAAGACTGAACTCTTTCCAATGTTATTTTTGATCAAATTGACAAAGCTCTTTCTCTTTATCCTTCAGAGGATACCGTTGTTGTTGATGTCTTTAATGCTCATCACACTGAATGGCTTGATTATAGTGTCAGTGACTCTACAGATGTTAAGTTACACAGTTTTTGCATTTCTCTAACGCAAATAGTCAACTTAATTATTCGCTTTTTACAGAAAATCCATATCATTTATCTTCAACCGATTATCTTGACTAATGTCTTGTTTCTGATCCTAGTCAGTGTTCAGTTTCTCTACACCCTTAAGTGCTTCTAATCATGGTTTGATCTTGCTAATACAATTATCTCATTCTTCTTCATTATCAGAATCTCACTGTTATTGTATCTCTTACAACTACCTTAAAGCTGATTAAGACTCCGTGATCTTCGTGATAGCCTTTGGGTAGAAATTTTTCGTAAATGCCGTAGCAAATTCTTACTAACTTTACTTAATTCTGGATTATTGCAAATTTGTTTATAAAGAAAATTGAAAGTGTAACTATTCCACGTTGTTCTTATTCTACAATAATTTTTTTCAAGAACTATTTTTTTATATTAAATGACAGAAACATGTCTATTTCCAATAAACTTGCACAATCTTTATTTAGCGGTAATATTTTATAAACCTGAATAAAAAATAAATAATTTGTCAGAATTTTAAAAATATGCTTCAATGCAATGTCTTATTTAACACTCCAAATCATTATTTCTCATAAAAGTTTGTCATTTTTTCTAAAGTTGTGCAGGTTCGCCGGGTCATCGCACAGTTTTCAAGTTAATATCAAAAAACACTTGAATCGGTCTGTGTTTCCAGACTATGGATTCTCATGTATTCTTATGACCAGGGGTGTGGAGTTGTAAAAAAAAAGGATTAACTCTGACTCCGACTCCAGTCGTTGAAAATTTCCGAGTACGACTCCGACTCCGACTCCAAAGTAAAATTTTTGAAAAATTCTTTGAAGGTTAAATATTTTATACATGCACGTGCAATACGAGAAGTTTTACTATTGGAGTCGGAGTCGCGATATTGCTTAGCGACTCCGACTCCTCTAAAAATGTCGCGACTGCGACTCCACGACTGCGACTCCACAGCCCTGATTATGACTATAGTCCGATACAATAATTAATTCGTTAATAATCAAATCAAATCGAATCAAATATATTTCAAAATAAGTTATAACATTTCAAGGAAATTTACAATAGTACAAATATTAATATAATGTAAATACCTGAATTTACAACATAGTACTATAAACAATTATGAAAATATAGTAAAAATAACTGATATCAATTATGAAATAATAGTAAAAATAACTGATATCAATAAAAATAATTGTGATAATAATAATAATAAAAGTAATAGTAACAATATAATAACAATAATAGTAAAAGAAGAATTCCATTAATAAAGACAACAGCAGCAACAAAAGTTTTGTAAATAATGACAGCAACAACAAAAATTTAGTAAGACGTACAGAATAGATAGTTGATTGAAAAGAGGTAAATAAAGCAGTTAAGGAATACCAAGTTTTTTAAATTTTTACAAGTTATTATATCGAATACATTATTTTCAAGGCTTTATTTTGGAGATGGGCAACCTGAAAAAATCATTTTGTATTTTTTTCTTGTTAAAAACATAATTGGTTTAAAAACGGTAATAATTGATTGTTACAATGAATTTTAAAAAGGTCGAGATAGCTTACCTATTATCAGACATTCCCGGAGAACCGTGATTGTCACAACACCTCTGATGTGTCTTCCTCGGATCAGAGGAAGATAATATTTAAATTTTATTTATACGGATTTTCACTGTGTTTTTTAACATAATTTTTACGAAAATTGTTTTCAAAATAATCAAAATGGCTGAAAATGATATCGGTGACTGGTTCAGATCAATTCCAATTGTAACAAGATGGTGGTTTTCCTCATCAATTGCATTTCCACTTCTCGGAAGATTTGGAATTTTGAAATTATACTATATGATTCTTAATTTTCATTTAGTTGTCTATAAATTTCAAGTGAGTAGTTTATGTGTTGATGTTTTAAAAGGTAATTTTAATAAAAAGTTTTAAGAGATAATAAAAAAGTTTATTATAAAACTCATTATAATTTAAAATAAGCACTTTTTAAATTTATTAATCTTTTTTAAAAAATTCTTATTAGCTACAGCAATAATTTAGAAAATGTTTTTTAAAAACAAACTTTATGAAGTTTGAGAGACATGCATGAGTAAATGTATTTTTTAAATTAGCTTTTTTTTATGGAGAACATTCGATACTAAGTTATTTATTTATATTTGTGTTTCGAATCATTATCGGTTTCTTAAACATGTTAAAAACATTTTGGCTTTTATATAAATTTTTACCCATGAGATCATGTGATTCTGTTTGATGAATTTCTTAAGTTTTATGGTAACCTCTTTGTGTCTAATTGCCAACCTAATGTTTAACAGTTTAAGCTTTAAGCAAGTTGCGATCTATGGTTTGTTATTTATAACTAATCCATTCATTGAGTTGATATTTTTCATAAGAATCAAGAAAGTAAAAGACAGTAGAGGCCCAAGACTAAGACCAACACTCTAGGTTTTCAAGACCAAGACTAAGACCAAGACTTTAGGCTTCAAGACCAATACCTAGACCAAGACAGTTAAATATGAGTCTCAAGGCGTCTTGAGATGCCTTAAGACTCATTTAAAAGGTCTCTAAATTAATTTAGATTTCTAAATTAATTTCAAAATGAAACCATTATTTCTTTTAATGCTATTTTATTATAGGTAATAAATGGTCTGTATGTGGTCAACCCCCCCCCCCACACACACACACTTACTAAGGGTGAGGGGGAAGGTGGCACCAATCAAAGAGGGAAGGGGGCAACCAACTTAAAAAGATACAAGCATTCATTCTCTAACATGAAACATACATGATTCATTTTCTAATGATTATCAGTTAAGGCTATTAGGTCTTTTTTACATTTTTTCATGCTTTTACCATAAGATACGAATTTTGATAGTGATTATCAAAAATGTGTGCCTGATTTTCCAGCAAATATACAATGTTATGGGCTTAAAAGGGAATTAACAAAAATTAATTAAATTATTAAAAGTTAGTAATTTAATTAACCCCTCCCCCTGTTTGATTGGTGCTACACCAAACCTTCTCCCCCTCATCTTTCTTTTTATTAAAAAATGGCTTATATTTAGTTGCATTCTTTACATAGTCTAGTAACACATTCAACCATTGATAATTGAAAAATAGGGTTATTTAAAAATGCTAGCATTTTTGGTGTGGATTTGACAAGTTTATGATGTTTGCATTTTCAGATAGTTGGGTCTAATGGTCTTATATGCTGTTAATCTTAAATCAAAACAAAAATTTTCAAGCATCTCAAAATGGCTGAAAATTGGACTTTTAGGTGAGTGAACATTTTCCTTTTAGTTCTAAACTGCAACAAGCTGCATATATTTTGCCCATTTATTGCAGACAATAGTAACTAATCTGAAAACTTATCTGTAAAGACTTGTGGATAAATGGAATAATGCTACATTTAGTTTCATTTTGGCATATTTTGGAAATAAAGTAATTTTTCCAAAGTTGAGAAGGTCATAATTTTTTTCTTATTTAACACATTAATTTAACAAATTAAAACCACTTTTTTAAAGAGAGAACAATCTAGAAAATAGTTCTAGAAAAAATGAGACACTTGTTGAAAGTTAGAAAAAAGTTATACAACTCTAAAGTAGTCTGTTTTTACCATTTGTAAATTGAGGGGGGCACCGTATCATGTTTCTAAGGCTATAATTTCTGAACCGTTGTACTTGGAAGTCTGAAATTTTAAATTTTACCTATCTACATAAAACACATAACAATATGTAAAAATCATGATAATCAGAAATGTTGACCCACAGGCCATTGGTCACGTGGCCAAGTTGTTTTAGGGTTACCATTAAAACAAATGTCTGCTCTTACCCTCTAAATGTGTTTTATATAATCAAGTAATATTGGAATTAACAAATTTTTGAGAAAAATAATTTTTTAGGGGAGCTCAAGACCCTTAACCACGGGTCCCTATAATTATTAAAAAAAAATTTTTTTTAAAGTATTTCATGTTGGGTTTCCAAAGAAACAAAATTATTTAAAATTTAAAAAATAATTATTATTTTATAAAAAAACATCATCAAAAGTTACATTCAAGTTCTATACTAGAAACTATATATCAGCTTTTGTTTAACACACTTAAAACTTAATCATAACTTTAGTCTCACAATTAGGCAATACTTTAAAACAATGTTTTGCCACATTCTCAGGTTGTTTTTTTTGTTAGTTTTGCTATCTAAAAAGTTTGCCATTCAACAGTGATTTATTGTGATTTATTGTGGGACAAAATGCCTCATCAGGCTTTTTTAAGCTTTTTTTATCTAAGATGTTTATTTTTTTTGATGAGATGTTTATTGATTTAGATGTTTAAGATTGCAATCTTTTAGTAAAAAAAAAATGAATCATTATGGATATTACTCTGATGCTGAAGTTGTAAATATCATTTTAGAGGATATACCTATTGAAAATTTTAGAGGATATACCTATTGAAAATTTTAGAGGATACACCTATTGAAAATTTTAGAAGATATACCTATTAAAAATTTTAGAGGATATACCTATTAAAAATAGAAATGATCTAGAATCATCAGTTACAGAAAATATTGATATTGTTTTGGTCGAAGAACTTCAATTGTATTATTAATAATATAGTATTACCAAATAATTCTAGTAATTCATATAATTTTGTGTCTAACATAGAAGATTTTATTGTGGATCATGACAAAAAGTGGAGGAATGATAAAAAAAAAAGAAAAAAAAAGTTTTATGGATTTGTGGATATGATAAAATATAAATAACTAGCAATTGTAGAATAAGTTGATATGCGCTACTCTACTATATATAGTAACTACTATATATAGTAATGCGCTACTACTATATATAGTAACGTTTTTTATGGTAATAATAATTTTGAATGCCTTTTTTATGTATAAATCTTATAAATATTCATTTTGCTGCATTTGAAAACCCAGTTGACTATTTTTTGACTAATACTTTGATGGTAGAATTATGGAATATTTAAATAAAAACTGAGTTTATGTTTAGAGACTTCTTATAGACGTAACTATTTTTTTTGAATAAATCTTATTACAATATTTCAAGGGAGTATAGATACCCTCGTTATCAAGTATAATATATATATATATATATATATATATATATATATATATATATATATATATATATATATATATATATATATATATATATATATATATATATATATATATATATATATATATATATAACAAGTAAAAACAGCAAAAACAAAACAACAACAAAAATTATGGAATCTGTTAATCAGAATAACTTGTATATTTATTAATTGCAAAAAAAAACCAGTTTCTAAAAATGATGACTTACACCCTTTCATCAGAATCAATATGGTAATAGGGTATCACAAGCTTACTTCCTGGAGAAACTACTGGAGTAATGACAACAACTTGATAGTGTCATTTGTTTTTGATATCATATATTACATAAAAAGTTTATTCAAATACTTTCTAGTGTACATTTAAACAACAATAATACGATACCAGCCGACAATACAACAAATTATTAAGTTTATTAACATAAACGACAGTACTGTTGAATTATTAAGTTGTATTCATTAATAGGCGGTTTTAATAACAACTACACCAAATTATAAAATGTGTCACGTTATCTTAGTATTGATGGGTGAATGATATTTTTTAAGGGTTGGAACTCTTTAAAATAAAAAAACTCTGAGAAACCAATAAAAAGGAGCTATAAACTAGAGATGTGCCATGTTTGGAACATCTCTAGCTTACACACAACTTTTCCCAGTTTTCCATGTGCCAGGCAGGCACCCAGCACTATATATTCTGAGTACTCAAAAAATCCAGCAGAATAATTCTAGCTAGATATTCAGCACTTTTATAATCCAGATACCCAGGAAAAGTTGCTAAGTCCTACAGGGTACCCAGCCTGAGCTGGGTACTCATTGTATCTCTATTCCGGCAGTTTTCCTGGGTACCCAGAATATATGTGTGCTAGCTTGAGTTATACTGACAGTTTTCCTGAATACTTGGAATAAACAGATGCAGCCGATCAGATGCAGAAAATTGCTAGAATTCTGGGTCCAAATGGGATACCAGGCACATCTCTAATATAAGTTTTAGAAAGAACCTGCTTAATAATCTTTGTAAAGAAAAAAATTTAAAGCAGAAATATTTTGGCTTCAGAGTTTCTAAAGATTACATTGATTTTTAAATAGATAGATAATAGACCATTGAATATTACATCTAAATTTAATGACACTGAAAAAAGCAGAAACATGGTAACAATAGGTAAACCTATTGTCAAGTTTATCAAGTCAATTGTCTGTTAATAAAAAACAAAACCCAATATTTCTTTTTTATTATCAATTTGACAGAAAAATCTTGGCATTTAATGGCTTTTTTTTTTTTGTTGGTATTTTGTTTGTATTTTGTTGGTATTAAATGGCAATTAATGAATTCTAATTCAATATAGAATCACTTCAATTTAGCCTGTTGAAAAATGTTTGCCTTTTATAGTTTTCTTGTCAAGACATGTAAGTTCGTTGTAGCTTTCATGGCAATGGAAACAAGTCTAGGGCAAGTTTGTGATTTATTACTTAAGGCACCTACAACATAAATTATTCTTAACAAAATTTTAAAATTGCAAACGTATGTTATATACTTTGGACCTTAAAGGCTTATGGGAGCTTTAGCAACCAAGTGATCCTGGCAAAAGTATGTGTTAAAACATACATTCTCTCTTCATGCATAATGTTAATATATTTATGAACACTAAATAATGTGTACCATTCAATACTACATCTTTAAGATTATTTTATTTATCTAAACAGTTTTATTTATAATAATAAATTAATTAAATTCAATAAGAGCTTAACACATTAAACAAAATCTATGGTAATTTCC